GCGGCGCTGCTGGCCGGGGCCAGCTGCCTGTGCTACGGCGGCTCGCTGCGCGGCGAGTTCGTGCACGACGACGTGTGGGCGATCGTGAACAACCCAGACGTGCGGCCCGGGACCCCGTTACGTTGGGCCGTCTTCACCAACGACTTCTGGGGCAAGGGCCTGGCGGACAGCACCAGCCACAAGTCCTACCGGCCGCTGTGCGTTCTGTCCTTCAGGTGAGCCCCCGCGCCCGGACGGGACACCTGCGCCCGCAGGAAGCGTGACACCGGGTCCTTGGCCCGCCTGCCGCGCGCCTGCCCTCGGCTGTCCTCCCCCGCTGCATCCCCGGTCCTCCAGGCTCCAACCCCGATCCTCTCCGGTCTATCCCCGGTCCTCCCAGCTCTACCCCTAGTCCTCCGGGCTCTACTCCCGGCTCTATCTCCATCCTCCACACTCTATGTTCAGTCCTCCCCGCCCCATCCTCGGTTCTCCCAGCGTTACCCCTTGTCTTCCGGACTCAACCCCCTACCCTCCCCGCCCTGTCCCCAATGCCACCCAGGTCCCTCCGGCCCTTTTCCGACCCTCCAGTCTGTCCCGTGTTCTCCCTGCGCACCCGGGGTTCTCTCTGCTCAGCTCAGACCCTTGTGGCTCCTCTGAGATTCCCTCTGCTCTGCCCTGGATCCTCCCTGCTCTGCCCGGGGTCCTGCCTGCCCTGCGCGGGGTCCTTCCAGTTCTGCCCCGGCTCCTCCCTACTCCGCTCCCGGGTCCTCCCGGCTCCTCCAGTTCCTCCGGCTTTGCCTGGGGGCGTTCTGGCTTCCCGGGCGCCGGCTACGGAGTTGGGATCAGTTTCCCCAGGCCTCCTCCAGGGCGCTGCGCTCCTGGGTGCGCCTGGCTTTTGGTGACTTCGCTCGACCCTTCCGGATCCACCCGAGGGACCTGCCTGGGCCCCTGAGTTCCGGAGGGTGGCGGTGCTCAAGTTGTCAGTTTCTCGGGGCCTAGGGCTGTTTGGCTGGTGAGGGGGATGCGGATCAGGTGGCCGAGGAGAGCGCCAGAGCCGCAGGGCTGCAGCATCCGGGAAGGAGCTGGGGAGGGGGCGCGCACCCCACTGTGCGAACTTGGCCTTGTGTCCTCAGAGCGCACAGGCTCCCCATCCTCTCCTTCGGCCGCCGGGATCCACACTGGAGAATGCGCAAAGTGGAAGGGCGGGGAGCCGGGTGCCGCCCCGGGTCGCCTCTGGAACTGCCCAAGTCATGACTGCGCTCCTGGGGGTAAGCAGCGAACCGAGCCCGGCTGCGCGCCGGGCTTTATGGGGTTGAATTTAGATTTCAGAGGAAAGGAAGGGTTGCAGGAATGTCACTCTTACATCACGAGTTCGACTCCACCCATAACTTGGCTCTGCGTTTTAGCTGCTGAGTGCACAGGGTGGAGCCTTGGTTCACCGGTGTGTGTTAGCTCCTTTCCAACCCCCTTTCCAACCTGTATCACCTGAGCTGAGTTTATGGTCCGTTTATGATCCTGATCTTGCAGGCCCAGGGCTTTGGACAGGTGGCCCCGGTGACTTAGAAAAGGAAATCCGGCTGTTGGCCTTTCCACGTAATGAATGATTTAAGAAGGTGAGAAAAGTCACAAGTTAAACTCCGGAAGGAATGTTATAAACATTTGTTTTTGGAAAGTTGTGTTGGTTTTCAACCCAAAGGTCGCCTTTAAAGTTCCCAAATAGTCCTTTAAAATCTCCTTAAGTAGCAAAATAGGCATGCTTCATTTTTCAGTGGGTCTGAGCTTCGTGGATTGGGTGAGGCTGTTGATTAACTGAAAACCTGGAAGGCCACTGCACAGTGTGATGGCTTTTCACAGAGCGGGAGCTGGTCCTGATCCCTGGACAGAACAGTTTCCTTTTTAAGGGTCAGGGTTGAAAGCCTGAGTCAGCCAGGGCTAGGTGAGGGTGAGTTCCTCCTAGGAGAAGCCAGTGTGGAAGAGGGGGTGTGAAGCAAATCCAAGCCTAGCTATACACCATTAGTTTGACTCCACCCGGCAGGGGGGAGGGGGAGAGGATGGGGGGGAGAGGAAGAGTTGGGGGCATGTCAGAACGGGAAAGGAGGGATGTCCACAGTCACCTGAGGTGAACCCCATCTTCCAGTGCAATAGCACGAAACCAGAGGTCATCAAAGACTAGAATGCTGTCGACCATCGTGTTGTGCCCCCTCTTCTGGCAGAAGTCTCTTTCTGTAGTACTCCAGACTGGCCTGGAATCCACTATGTAGCCCAGGCTAACCTCTAACTCATGATTGTCCTGCCCCAGCCTCCTAAGTGCTGGGGTTATTGGCTCAGTGAACCACCAGGCCTAGCTAGATCCACATGACTTAATGCTGCCAGGAAGGGCAGAAAACAACATTACACAGTATTTGTGATTTTTATTCTACGTCATTGAGGAACACGATTCCCTTTAAACATGAACAGAGCATCTTGATCACATCTCAAATTATTTTTGAGACTTTGAGACTCCAGAATCATTTTAAAGCATCTTTTTATTTTGGGATAAGTGCACATTGTGGAGTTTTAAGCAGTACAGAGCTCTCATAAATCCCACGTGCGTTATCTCCAACTTAATGTCCTGCATAGCTACGGAATGATGCCACAACTGGGAAATGGATGTTGACAAGATCTGCAGGTTTCTTCCCAAATTTCACCAGTTTTTTGCATAGGCTATTCATTCTGGTCGCTTTTTAGTGCTCTGTAGTTTCACCACACGTCAATTTCTGAGACTTCCACTGTCCTCAAGAAGCCTAGAACAGTTCCGTCATGTGCCTTCCCCTTATAGCAGCAAACACATACCTTATTGCATCTAATCCACAAAACCCCCACCCAGACCCTAACAACCACTCATTCTCCATCTCTGTAATTTCATCATTTCAGCATTATGTAAGCAAAATCGTATGGCATATAATTGTTTGAGTTGGCTTTTTTCTTTTCTCTCAGCATCTCTCTATAGCTTCAATCAGATGGTTGTGTGCAAAGGATAGTTTACTCCTTTTCACCCCTGAGTAGTTTTCTACTGTATAGAGATACCACAGTTTATTCATTTATCTGGGTTTAATTTCCTAGTTTTGAGCAGTTACGAATAAAGCTGCTTATGGGTTTTTATGTAAACAGAAAATTTTATTTCTCTGGGGAAAATGCCCAGGAGTACAACTACCTGGTTATATGATGGCTGCCTGTTTAATGCCCTTTGGAATTGCCAAACTGTTTTCCAGCCCAGACCTTCCTCCCAGCAGCATACGAGTATGTCAGTAGCTTTCACACCAGGCGTTGGCGTTGTTGCTGATTTTATTTCTTCTTCTTTTTTTTTTTGTTATTGTTTGACTATTCTAGCACTTGCACAGTGGCCATGTGGGTTTTATTTCCCTAAGGGCTGACAATGTTGCATATCTTATGGTCATTTCCCCTCTGTGTGTCCTTTTTGGCATATGTACCCTGTGCCTTTTCTCAATTTTCAAAGTTAGTTTTCATTCTACATGTTGAGTTTTGGAGTTCTTTGTATCTTCTAGGTACATGCCTTTGGTTGACGATGTGGTTGACAAACTTTTCTCCCACTCTACCGCAGAGATCTGTCTACCTCTGCCTGCCACCTAAGTGCCACCATGCCTGGCTGTGTACTTTATATTTTTGTTCTTTCAGAGTCCGGTTCAAGACTCACATCTGTTCTTAAAAATATTTTGTTTTTAATGTTATGTATGTGAGTGTTTTGCCTGCATGAATGTAAGTGCACCTGTGACATGCAATGCTGGTGGAGGCCAGAAGAGGGTGTCCAGTCTCCTGGAACTGTAGTTCCAGATGGTTGTTAGCCTCCATGTGAGTGCTGGTAATTGAACCTGGGTCTTCTGCAAAAGCAGCCAGTGCTCTTAGCTGCTGAGCCATCTCTCCAGCCCTACACCTATTTTAAAAAATATTTTATTTATTATTTTTATTTTATGTATATGAGTGTATCGCCTGCCTGTATGTAAACGCACTTCTGTCATGCAGTGCCCACGGAAGTCAGAAGAGGGCATCAAACTCCCCTGGAACTGGAGTTACAGATAATTGTTAGCTGCCATATGGGTGCTGGGATTCAAACCCAGGTCCTTTGCAAGCGCAGCCATTGCTCTTAGCTGCTGAGCCACCTCTCCAGCCCCACACCTATTTTTCTAAACAGGAGTAAGTTTATTATCCTTAATGTATTGAATGCATGTCACATGCTGAGAGTTAGAATTTCCCTTAAGAACAAACATAATCAATAGATATGTAATTCTTTTGTTGTACAGATGCTTGCCTGTGTACTAATAAATACTGATGGTACTTACGTAGTTAAGATCCTGATTTCAATATTGCTCACATCAGAAGTGAAGTTGAAATAAATGAGGGAAAGGTTACCAGAGCCTGCCTGTTTGGGGGTGTGGCAGTTTGAATGAGACTGTCCCCCATAGGCTCCAAGTATTTGAACCCTTGGTCCCTAGTTGGTGGCTCTATTTTGGGAGGTGTGGCCTTGCTGGAGGAAGCACATCACTGGGGCAGGCTTTGAGAGTTCATAATCATGTCCTATTTCCAATCCGTCTCTCTCTGCTTCCTGTGCATGCTTGAAGATGTGCACGCTCAGTTTTCTGCTCCGGCCACCTCTGCCATGCCTCCACCATGATGGACTCTTATCCCCCAGGAACTATAAGCCTAATAAACTCTTCCTTCCTTGGTCATGGTGTTTTATCACAGCAACCGAAAAGTAACTAATACAGGGGTAAGGTCACTGGGACAAGATGTGGTGGAACTCTCCTCCCTCTGTGGAATTAGGTAAGTTGGAACTGTTTCTAGAATTCCCATCCCATGATGACTTTGCCTTAGGGCTGGCCCCAGGAGACACTGCTGTGAGATTTGGAAGCAGGAAGTGAAGTGGCCACTGTCACACTGCGATTAAGTTGTGGGGGGGCTGTGGGGTCTCATGCAGGTTGATCTGCAAGTGCTGCCTGTTCCTGGTGGTGAGGAGGGGTACCTGCGGCCACAGCTAGTTGGGTCTTCCAGAATTCCTCAGCTATCTCTGCACAGGTGTGAGCAGCTGGGGACAGAGAGCCAGCTCTTCTGCTAGTCCCTGTCCTCGCTAAGGCTGAGCCTCAGAGGACGTGAGATGCACCGTACATTGTGGGCTCCACCTTGCCCCCTTCTGAGTGCTGCTGGAGGACTTCAGCTTTGGCTCTGGACAGCCAAGCAGCAG